TTACTTATCCATTGAAAAATTGAATTAAAAGTATTGTTTTGGGAGATGTTGAAGTATTCGGCTTTTGGATTTAAATTTTCTGTTCAGGAATTATTTTTTTCTATTTAGTAGCTGAGGTTATATACTAAATTGTTATGAATATATACTTCAGTTTTTAGTGGCCAGTGGAGGTTGCTGTTATAGTTCATAACTTTTAATAACAACTTATAACCTTTCTTTTATAATTCCTTTTTGGGCTATATGATGTAATTCTTTCTAGGTTTTACTGCTCTACCTTTGCAAAGGGAGTAACTTGTCTTAGTGATTAATAACTATTTGTATTAAAAATCTCCTTTTCTCAAATCATGTCTCCAATTTTCTCTGGATTTGGTTATCCTCTGTATCTTTTTATGGCATTTGTTTTTGTTCTTATTTAGATATTAATAGAAGTATCTAATTTTCGAAGGCTAGGGATGATCTAGTCTTGCCAGGGCTGCAGTTATGTTAATATGAAAGGTTCCCTACCACCCTTGGGGATGCCGTGCTCCACCTGCATGATTGTACATGAAGCCCTGGGCTAGCCACAGTTTCTGATATGGAAACGTATAAAGAGTTCTGTAGATAACAATTTCCTTGCTTATTACCTCACTAAGGAGCTGACTGGTTTTTGCTGGCTTCCTGGAAGTGGCTTTGCCTTCACCAAGCCATGTCCAGAAACATCGTCAAAGATGGAGAGATTGATTAAGGTCATGCTCAGCTGATGGTCTATAGGGGAAAACCCAACCTAGCATGTGAATTCCACACTGTTCTTTTTTTTAAAAAAGGATTTTCCAGCAAAATGATCCATGCTTCAGTCCCTCTCTGAGCAGACAAGGCAAAAATCTAGGGAATTTGTATCCATTTGCGAAGTCACTCTGATCGTGAGGGGAAACCAGAGGACATGGCTCTAAGCAGAAGAACTGAAATATGGACAACTTCCCAAAGTCTCTTCTCTCCAGGAAGAAGAAAAAAGTGATGATCTTTACAGTTAAATATGGCCACCTGATTAAAGAGTGGGAACAATTGGAGAGGGAGATTGCAGGGGTTCAGTTAGGGCCCAAGTGTGTCCCTGAGGCTTTTTCCAAAGGAAGTAGAAATTTAGGATTGTTCTGATAAACACTGGGTTTTTGAATGTCCAAGATGAGAAGAATCAGTCAGAGTCTTCCTTAAAATGGAGCAGGCACACC